TATTTTATTATATATTATTATATATTTTATTATAAATTATTGTTATAAAATAAATATTTTTAATTACTTTAAGCAAAAGGAAGGATTTTGATATTTTTATTGATCATTTTCATTTATTTTCAGCGATGGGCTTAGCAGGTGTTTTCATTTTTCTCTTCGGTATAAATATTATTTCCCCCATAGTAATTATATTCTCTGAATTGAGGAAATATAAAAGTAACGATTAAACTTTGCTATACATCATCAATTACTGTTACTGTATGGTTAATCTTTACGTTTTGTTTAAATTGAAACTGATGCAAGTTTAATTGATATTTAAATTATTTATTGCAATATGTCGAGTTAATGGTGAGGCATTTCTAAGCCTCTTGTTTCGAAACCATATCTGAATACAAATAACAGAAAATCGCTGTTTCTCTCTGTAACCCGCATAAAGCTGAGCCTAAAGCTGAGTATGTATTCGGAATCTCCCCTGGCCGTGACCAGTTTTTGATTGATCTTTCTTGTTTTTTGACACCATCCATCGCAAAATTTATCATGTAGCGGGATATGCATCCTGCGGTGTTACGGCGAAGACATCGTAATCAGTATAGGCGACGCTTTAGGTGACGACATCATTAATTTTATACGAGTGATGGTGGATACGATCATGGAATTCTATCTGCTCGATGGATGCATGAAATATAATTTAGCATAAATGGTTAAAAGTGGATAGTTTCCTCACATCTTTCACTGTTATTATTGGCAACGTTTTGTAGATGTATAATAGATGTTTAGATGTTTAAAATGATAGCCAAAGAGATATGAACTGCCTTCACTGACTTCACGATTTTCAAAGATTTCGTTAGGCAGAGGAAAGCATTTCTAGCATCCGTAACATGGAACATCTAACGGTTGGAAACCAAGTATTGATAAGAAAATAACAATTCGATCCCTATCGTAATCGTGAACGAGAATTTTTCCCATTAATTCCCTATTTTTAGCAAATCCTGAAATATTGAATAATTTTCATTATTTTTAGGGGATTTCTTTGCAGATGCACAGAATTAAATAATAATAAATATGCAAAGAATCAAAATTATTCATTGCAGTATTTTCGGTTGTTTTTCACAAAAAACGTGTTATTGTTATACATAAAAAAGAAATATTGAATGAAATTTAATAGGCGATCAAAAAAGGAAAAATTTATTGTTAAAAAATTTCATATATTTATGCAATTTAAAATAAAAAGAAATTTGCTGAGTACTACTGAGTATTACTGAGACTGCTTAGATATGCATTACCCATGTCAATTATCGTGCTCCTTAACAAGAGAAAACTGTAATTAAAAGGCAAATCCGAGGACCATGTGCACTTTTATTTCCAAATAACATTCTATGGAGAAAATACCTACGAACCTTTATTGTTAACTGTAATTTATTAGTAAAGTATATGGATTTATAATATAATATGGATTTCATTCATATTTTAAAGAAATTTATTAGAAATATTTTTAAAAAAACGCGAATGAAATTGTTTGAAATGATAGGGTTCTCTCGAAATAATTCCTGATTCTCTAATAGAAAACAACAAGTGGTTGATTGGTTCGTTGGGTGGTTAGTTGGTTCGTCGGTTGTTTTCTTGCTTGCTTGCTCGATTACTTCGTTTTATTGTTCGATTGCTCGATAGGGATTTTACTCCATTGTTACGAAACGCAATTATTATTATTATTAATTATAAGTAGTTTTCTTAAATATGTTAAGTAAAGTGACATAAGTAAGTGGTTAGCGCTCATCATTTCTAGTTAAATTACCTCAGCTGGCTATTAGTTTGGCTATTTTTCCAAGGAGCCACTTGGCGATAAATACAGCACAACACAACTCGGATTTTTTTAGGGGTCCTATTTGGAGCAAGATCCGAACCTCGGCTTTCCAACGCGACAATTTGAGCTGCTATCCATTTTGCCATCCTGCTGTCTTAAGTACCACAAATAAGTATTTGTGTGTAATTCTAGGAAGTTTTGTCTTTTTAATGTTTTCAGAAGTGCTTTTTAAATTATTCGTTATTCATATGTTTCGTCGATATGCTTTGATTATATATCTCATATTCGGCCTTTGTAATGAGATTATCGAAGCCAATAAGACTAACTGCAACCGTTCATTTTATGGTTCTAAATTATCTACTCATCCGCTTTTATTATGTGCAATTTTTTAAAAGTAATAATAAGTGATAAAAATGTTAATGGTTTGCTGATCATAGAGAGCATAAGTAGAGATCATTACGAGTGGTGAAAGAAGCATAAATAATAAATAATACGCTTTTGTAAGGCTCGAATAGAAGAAACAGAAAGGACTTCGTAAGAGAGGATATTCGACAAGAATGGCAATTTTCGTTAAAAAAGAGGGCTGGGGAAGGGTTTTTGGAAAGGTGCGGCAGTTTTTTTAGGAAAATGGAGTTAAGAGGAAAAATCTTTTGGTAAAACGGCAGTTTTAGGAATTGAAAGAGTAAATTTTTTGTAAAAGCCTACAGTAATATAAATTTAGAAAAAAAGCAATAAAAGCGAATAGTTTAAATTTTTTTGAGTAAAAAAAGTAGTAATAATAATGGTTGAATGACTAAAAAACTTCTCGGAATGTAATTTAGGAAAATTTTGAATTTTTTTACCACAAAATGTGATCTTTGATGGCTTAAAATTGAGAAACGCTCTTTCAATCAGCAATAGTATAGATTTAGATGAGTGCGTTTAAAGAAGTCGGAGAAAAACAATAGTTTTAGAGAAGCTGGAAACTCGAGAAAAACGACAGAAAGGAAGAAAGGTAAAGAGAGAGAAATGGGTGGGGGCCAAAGATAAAAGTATATTCTATACTTCGTGTTTTATCACGAATATATTTGTGCGTTTGTAATACGGGCATCCTGCTTCGGGTGAAAACGGTGAGGTGAATGGGGGAAACTGAGGTCGGTTATTGAAGAAGAGGAGAGGTAGGGAAGGATTCTTTGGAGGACAGGTTGAGGGTCGAGAGGAGTCCAGGTCTCATGAATTGTGCTTTGGAACGGGTTGCCGCGGCCAAAAACTCGAAGAGTTGAGAACAAACAGATGGAAAGTCGGACTGGTGATCAAGCGAGGAGGCAATCCATTGAAAATATAGTCCCGGTGTCTTTTGAATTTGGTTATTCCTATAGACTTAGTGGCACCAAATATTTGTTTATATATTGGCTCAGGCGTTAACACCAATAAACATCACCATTTAATATAACATTTACTATTATTAGCGCAATAGGCACTTTCGCAAAATTCATTCACCATTTTATTGATTTGCAGGTCTTTTTTTACGCGATTTTATCGGGGAATACAACGAAAGGAACACTTTAACGTATGAAAAAGAGTGGGTTTTTGCAAATTTTGTAGCGATGAATAGGAAAATTTACAAAAACGAAAGCTTCGGGTAAGTAATTCGTCGTTATTTTTCCTAATATCGACACAATTATTGTCTTTTTTTAAAGTTTATTATACTTCGTTATTGTTTTTCGCGTTTACCATCATAAATTTTGTTACATTTTACTGCATCCTGCAATTTTATGAAATCTGGAATTTGCTCGAATCGAAGGCTTTCTTACGTCGTGTGCCTGGCGTGGGTTTTACTTGGGCCGTGAGGTCTAAAGGCATGGTGGAGGTTTTAGGTCCAACAGATGGTTCTTAGAGTTTCTTAAGATGACAGGAACCGACCTGCTCCATTTCCTTCTCCTCCTCTCCGCTCTCCACGTTTCTTAATCAGCAGCTACCCTATCTTCTAAACTAATTTTGATGATGGTTGACCAACAATGATAAATATCGTCTCGCAAAAAAATATAGTTGTCCCCTTTGAAAGAAATGCAATCTTTTGCAATTTTTCTAAATTTTTTGAAAGGGCCGCAAAATTCACAAAAGGCCGTGAAATAAAAAATTTAATGTCAGTTGTTCTATTGTTGTTCGTTCGTTTCTTTTTTTATCAAAATTTTTTATTTTCTTCGTTTCAACGATTCGGGAATAAAAGGAACCTTTTTCTTTAAATTTGGAAAATTATCGTGCAAAAAGCTGAAAAGTGTTTCGAAAAAATGAAAATTCCATTTCTTTTTTAGATTTTCTTTTCATTAATTTTTCAAAAAATTCAAAATTCATTCTTCAAAAATTTTATTTTTTTTCAATATCACGAATAAGTTTCCCCTTTTTCTATCTGTTTGTTTGCTTGTTTTAAAGAATTTTTCTTTTTTCTATCTATTTTTCTGTCTATTGTTTTTAATTTTAATATTTTTTATTTATTCTATTTAAAATAATTTTTAATTCGATGCAAAATCGATAAATAAAAATTGATGATGGAGAAGAGAGCGAAGTTGATTATTTGGTTCGGCCGGCAAGGCATTCGTTTCAATTTGTTATCGATCGATGAATAAAGGCCCGTTTTAGGCCTCCGTTTTTTCTTTCGAATCTCGTCTTAACCTTTTATATTTTTCAAGTTTTTTTTATATGTCGATCATTTAATTGATTTTTCAGTAAACAGCACACAGGCATCCCGATTGTGTCGGGTTTTCATTTCGACTTTGTAACAATTTTTTAATCGATGGATAGGTCCGTGCTTTTCCGTTTTTATGGGCCTTTTAAATGAACGATAGTTTAAGAATAAAACGATTTTTTAACAGGTAATATTAAATGAAGAAAACCTCAAATCCATTTAATTATTTCAAAAATAATTTGCACGCAAATCTTTTCCTTTAGTGCATTTGTTTCAGCCACGATTCAATTTACGCGAGCGGTTTTGGTCTCATATTTGGTCACAGTTCATCTTTCTCTCAATGGATTCGGGTTTCAGATGCAGTTTATTTTCCCTTTCATTTCGGCCACAACCGCTCTTTGTTATCTTTTCCGGGATTTGTTCTTCATTTTCGCCACATTTTGTTTTAGAATTCTAATCTGAGTCGTTTCAGCCTCGTTTAAATTTTTTCCTCTTAATGCCGTTTCCGTCCCAAAATAATATTCTATTCTGTGTATGGTTATGCATATGCTAATTGCTTTTCAATTAATTAACAACGAATCATTCGATTTGGCTAAGATCGTTACGGCCATAAATTTCCTCTCTTTGGTCGAAGCTTTAATGATCATGCCGACCACACTTCTTTGTTCGGCCATCATTCGTTCGGAATTCGGAATAAATGTAGGCCACAGTGGATTTTTATTATTCTCATCCGACGTCATTCCTTAATTTTTTTGACCATAGTCATTTCTTTTCCGACCAGTACATTATACAGTAAATTATTGTTCTTCAGTCGGAATGCTGTGGTAGATGTGAGTCGATGTGACCAAAATTTAAATTGTCTTTGCTGAAGTTCAGCCTTTAGCCTTTTTTCGCTTAAACCCTAGGTTATTAGTTTTTTAAGCTAAAAATTGATAAAGTTTCAATAATTTACAAGTATTTTCACAAATATTTTTAAATTAAATTCAATTAAATTCAAGCTTCTGTTGATGATTGCTAAAACAAAATGACTTATCATCAACTACACTTTACCGCTAATTTTTCATTTAATAACGGAACTGAGCTGAATTGATCATTTTTATCACCATTATCAAATCGTTTGCGAATATTATATTATTGTTGCTATTGATGTTTTTATAATAGTATTATTAGTATAGTTGTATAGTATTATTATTATCGTTATATTATTGTTATTAATCTATTATTTTTATCATTAGCATTACTATTATTGTTATTAATATTGTTAACCTTATTATTGAATCGATTTTCAAATCTAAGAATCAGTTTCGTTTGTCAATAATTTTAATGGAAAAGATTAATTAGTATTCAAGAAGCCTCGCGATGCGAAACCAACGCATGTTATTTTTGCTCTTTTCAAAATATTGTTATTTTGACGATATTTTCATTCATCGATTTTATACTTGATAGCGATCACTACCGCTTCGTTTAGAAAATTCTCTTCAGTGTTTTAGAAATTTTTTTTCAATTGGCCATATGCTTTCCTCAGGCCACCATAAAATTCCCCGTAAGTTATTCGTAAATATTTTTGCAAATTTTTTTTTTGCAAAAAATATTCCTAAATAATCTATGTTAGAAAAGGCGTATTAAAGGCGTGCTTGTTTTCGTATAACTTTTGCGTAATTTATGACTTTTGAATACGTATATTTTTGAGGTGAACTATGCATATCGCAAATAAAATTTTTGTTATTATCATTTTTCATCGATCGGAAATATTGAAAACTTTAGAAATTTTGAAAATTTCCTTTTGTTACAGGACGAGTGTGTGGAAATGGAAATTGGTGATGCTTGTAGTGATATTATTGCAATGAAAACAACCACAAAACAAAAATCTGAAGCAAAATGTGATAAAAAAATCAAAGAAAATATCGTCGATGGAGGATTATTACTTGATAAGTCGCATAGTATTTATAAACGATTTAATTATGGTATGGTTTTTCAATTTTTTTCATATTTATAAATTAAATTACTGGCTTAAATTCTAAATTATATGCCATTTTTTGTTTAAATATGGCATTCCATGTTTTCGCAACTAATGGTTTTATGCAAATCTTTGTTTTAAACATTGTTTTTAATTTAATGAAATTAATGAAATTAAATTAAATATGCTAAATTGCCATCAGTAGGTAAGGAAAATTAAAGCATAATTTTTATTTATTTATTTGACATTAATGAACTGAAGAATTTTAATACTATAATAATGTATTAATATATAGTGAATAAATTTCGATATTGACAATTCTTTTCCAGCCTTTAGGCTGAAACTTATTTACGAAATTAAGACTGGACAAATTAGCAATAATTTTGCCCTGAAGGCTGTTTTTGTGATGTTTCTGACTCAGCGAGCTGTAATAACAAAAGTTTTCTTTCTTATTAGTTTATGGTAGAAAGTAGAATGTTCTTCAATATTCTTTTTGTAAAGTTCTCTTTAAAGGCTCTGCTGAAGCATTGTTTTCATTTGATGAAGATCAACCAGAAAGTGATGACGATGAAGATTTGGGTAAATCTAAAGGAATATATTTTAATGAATTAGCGTCTGAGGCCGAATCAGATGGTAACATCATTTAACTCTGTTATAAAATCCCTTGATTTTCTAGAACAAAAAAAATTTCGTGATTATTTTAGACTTTTCTAAATGGTCTTAAAATTTCTTTTATTATTTCAAGTTAATTATTTGTTTTAATTATGCAAATTTGCATTTCATTTCATTTCATTTTAAGTAATTTATTCGTTAGCTTTAGTAATCAATTTTTTCATAGTAAAGGAATAGAAAATGAAAAAAAAGTGATACTTATGTTTTTTTTCCTTGTGTATTGATATCTTTTTGACTATCGCCTTGATTGACTCTTTGACTGTTAAATATAAACGGTCGAAGTTAAGTTTGCAGTTTTTTAAAACAGTCAAAACAGTTATTTGTTTTATATACTTTAGTGGTTCTTTAAAGATTTGGTGTGTCGAAACAGCATTTTTTGTTCTTTTTTTTCAGATTGTTTTTTATTTATTAGCAAAAATGATTCAATTGATGCTTTTATTTATAGATTCAGGCAATGGTGATGCTAAAGAATTAGCTAGTGGAATAAGGTGTTCTGGGAATTCAGCGATACACTCCGCTGGTAATTGAAACACTTCTATTTTTAATTAAAATATTTGTTCATCTGTGAATGAGATAAAGTAGTTTTCTTTTTAACTATGTTTATTAATTTTTGAAATAAAATTACTTCCTTCTTTATTCATTAATTCGCTCGCTATTTTATGGTGAAAAAATTGTCCATGATTCATTGAAATTTTTTAATTGAAATTCATTTTTATTGTACATCTGTAATATATTGTTTACGTTTTTAGCATTATATTCCACAAGGAGCAGTGAAGGAAAAGCAAATGTGGAAACAGGTATAGGTGCTCTTGCATATGGGACTTCTTTACCAATAACTATTCCTAAGGGATGCTTTTGGCCACCACGTGAAGCTCGCGATAGTTATGATAGTAAAGCACGTGGTTCGGATGAAGAGAACGCTAGTCGTAAAGTGAAGACAGTTAGTTTCATTTTTTTTTAATTTGTTTTATTTTAATTATCTTTATTTCTTATTTTCTTTTAAATTCTCGAATTATCTTTATATCATATTGATGACTGGTACTGAATTGGAATAGTGTTATGGTTCTTTTCTATCGGTTTCATGGAACTGTATGAAATTTAAAATTTAGATGCATGAAAAAAGCTTGGGAAATCATAATTTTATGAATAAAATATTTATTTCCATTTCTCTTCTGATTTTTGGTTTACTTGGCAATAATTTGCAATTTAATTATTTTTTAAAACTGTTATTAATATAAATCGATAATAATTCGGCTTTGTCAAGAATTTTAATTATTATTAGATAACATTTCTTAAAATAAATTGCTCAATATTTGTTGTCTATTAGCATTGAATACAATTTTTTTAACGAATTCTAATTAATTATTAGAATTTATTTTTAGATATTGCCACAGCGTACTGAAAAAGATCTCTATGAAGAAATGCGTGCACAATCTCGTTCAATACAAGCTCCGGATGATCCTGAGCGTTTATTTGGTGAGCGTCCACGTCGTCGACGACATAAAACACGAGAAGATGATGTAAGTGGTGATTCCGCTAATTTACTGCCACATCATGAGAACGCTGTAGTTGTCTTTGCTTCTGTTACCGATTCCAAATAGAATTTTATAATTATTATTATCAATATTATTATTTAGTTTTTATTATTGTTCTGTAGATTATGCATTTTGATTCATTATGTTCGGACACATTGGGCACTGAAATTGTTCGCTCTTTCTCAATGAAAAAAAATTCGAGCGATTTAGGAACAATTGAAAAATGAGAAGTAATATAGCCCATAAAGTATATTGTTTATAAATTTTATATCAAATTAACCAACTTAAATTTTTTTCCTTTTTTTTTGAAGAATTGTATATCCCATAGGAATTTTCAAATTTTGCACCTAGCCGTTTGTTTATCTTTGTTTTAGTTTTATTTTTTTCTTCTTTTTTTTGCGCTATTTTAATTGCGTAAGTTTATCAGCTGCATAGAATGTTTTGTCTAGATTATTTAACTGAACCAAGCAACGACGACCTCAATTTATTTTTTTTTTTTTTGTTGTTTTTTGTCAATATTAACACAAATTCTTTCAGTCTTTTCCTCTGCATATTGATAATACCTTTTAAAAATAATAACATCAGTAATAAGTATGATTGGGAAAGATTGAAATAATTGTTATAATTGTAATTTTTTTTAAAATCCATTTTGATCCGTTTTTTCTTTTTTGTTGTTGCCCTTATAGTGGAAATTAATCGCCTTGATTTTTTTCCATTTTTCTTAATTTTTCTTATTTCTTTCTATCTTTTTCTTGTAATAACCGCAGATAAGATTGGAAAAATCATATGGTCTTAAATGCAAAAGAGGATAAATTTTATTCATTTCGGAGGGTTCAGTCATATTTTATGCATCCATATTATGTTGCACTTGTTATAATGAATTGTCTGCCTCATTCTCATCATGGTTTTTTCTTTAATCTTTTTTTGTAAAATGTAACCGATGTTATAATTCAGCGCTGGGCGCTTAATTACCTTTTTTTTATAATTGCAACTACATAAAATTTTGGTAATTTTAACGAAAATTGAATTTTGGCAAGTTATATTGTAAAGAACCATTATTATATGATCATTTTGTTCTCTTTTTTTTGTAAAAGTAATTATTTTTCTTCCTTTTCCAATGAATTTCCTCGTTCAGGGCTTTTTTTCGTCAAATAATCTGTTAAAATTTTTTTCATATGAAATAATCATGATAATTTTTATTCTAAAAGTAGTTATATAATAGTAATGTATAACAATTTTTTGTTTAATTGTAGCTAATTTGTTAACAATCGGTGAATAATTGAAATTATATCTATGGTTATGATGATAATTATAATTATTATTATCGGTTTTACTAAATTATTATATTTAGAGAAAAATTTGATAATTTTAAGATTTTTGACTTTATATCCATAAATAAATTCAATGTAAGGATTCTTGGCTCTGTTTTCTATATTGAACACTTGGTTTGTAAGATTTCCAATTTTTTAGTAAAACACTGACCACGAAAAAACGGGAAAGTTTATGTTATAGACGAAATCGGTTGATTCGATAGGTAGGTAATCATCTTATTCTTATCACCATCATTTTCGTTACATCAATATGTCATTATGATCTTTTTTTTTGTGTGTGCTCGAGTTGTCTTGGCCATCTTTAGGTTATTTTTATTATGAAATGTTTTTTGATTTAAATCATTCCAGGCTTTTGTCCGGCTTATACCTTCGTCACTAAAAATGAAAAAATCAAAGAATCATAAGGCTTGAATGTAAAGAGAAAAAGGGTGAAAAAATTTATTTTCGTTTCTCCACTTTTTGTTCAATTCGTTTATATGAAACTATTTTTTGCAAAAAACGAAAAAACCAATATTTTGCACATTGTGGATTTTTTTGTGATTTTTGATTTCTACCAATTTGATCTTCAAGTTTGTTTTTTTTTTCTTTTCTATTTGCAAAAAACGCAGAATTCGCGACTTATATATATTTATCATATATTTGTCTGTTGTTAAATATGTAAAAAAATTCTCTTCAAAAGTGGGTTCAAAATGAGAAAAAAAAGGAGAGGGAAATGACATAAAAGCAAGGATAAACAAATTGATATAGTGCGGGGTTTGTTCGAATTCGGATTCAGTATAATTTTTTCAGTTAGTTATTGATAGAAGTTGCATAGCAATGTAATACTGTGTTGGGTTGGGTTGGGTTGGGTTGTTTTAAGTACCATGGCTCGTCCGCTCATTCTGTGAAGGTAAAATTTAAGTAGTGCTAGGTATTCCAGAGATCGGTTAGTGATGCTTTGCTGGAATAGTCGGTGGAACAATTCTAACCAAGAATGGTGACTGCGGATAGCCAACTCATTAGAGATGTTTGGCAGTAGAAAGCCGGCTATAAAAGTAATATCAGATCTATTTATTTCTCTACAGCACCGTTTGACTAAGGTTTATACAAAATAGGATTAAGCTGAATTATATGTATCTTAATTTAATATTCAATATGAACAATGAACTGTAATAAAGAGATTTTGGGCTGTAATATGTCTTTCAATTAATATCGTTTTGCTAATAAAGGTTTGCTAAGAAAGGATTAACGATGAGAAAGCGAATATAATATATTTGCTGAGTTTTGCTGATTTGAATTGTAGAGTGTTTATTGCCTGCTTGGTCGTTTCTTGTTTAATTTTATAGCTCGGACGGCGTTTTTTCATGGGAAGAAAAATAAACTTGTTGAGAAGATGCCATCGGAATCGCCGTTGGCGTTCTGCTACTTTTCGAAAGAATGAATCGGCCAAGTGGTATTCATCTTCAAAATAGCTCAATGGTGGCAATTTCTTTAATAAAATAATTGTTGAAAACAGATGGATGGATTGCTATATTTATTTGTTCAAGGGGTAAGTGGGAATTGGGGAAATGCTAACTCGGAAACTGGATCGCGATTGATTTTCTTGTAGCAATTATTGCTGTTTGCTTATTGAAACGATTGTGTGCAGTGGGGATGACAAGAAAAACAAGTTTTTAATTTTATCGTTATGGGGGATACTGGAAAATTTTTTGAGGAAAAAACCGAAGAAAATGACTAAAGTGGTTTTTGTAAAAATTTAATCAAAAAATAGATAAATGATTCGCAAAAATAGGATCAAAAAATCAATGAATGGTATGGATTTTCCGGCGATTTTTTTAAGCCGAAAGAATAACAAAACTGGATTCTTTGGAGCAAAAACATATTCTTTGGAAAAGAGATGGTGATATTAAGCTTTTTTTCTGCGATACCACTGGAAGACATTTTTTCACATCAAATTCTAATCCTTGTTGGACTTTTTGGACATTTCATGTGTAATAAGATTGGCACAGATTAGTGAGGTCATATGTTCATATGTTCCTCGCCTTGTGGCGGATGACGAGTATAAACCAGAAAAATATGGTAATATAAAAATCTTATTCCATGTTCAAAGGTTTAGATACATCACTATTCAGAAGTTCTTTCTTTGCGCTGTTGCAATTATAGCAAAATTTCAAAGTCTCATCCGGAAGAAGCGATTGACTGCATTGAATATTATTTTTTTAGCGAAATTTAAGGTTTATACATAAGTATTTTGTCATTATTCTTTATGTAATACTTTCTTTCATGGAATAATTTGATTTCTAAGTATATTGTCATCAGTAAATTTGCTTGAATGGAAGTGGATATATTATATTTATAACAGAATATAACAGATATATATATATAAGTATGTACTCCATGTTGTGTTTGCTTATACGCTTATAAGTCATCTACAACTTTTAATATCGTTTGCGAAAAATCCACTCTTCCATCTATAATTTATATATAAAAATCGTTATATAGACTAGAAATTTGTTTCTTGGTATTCTTGGCTTGATTGTTTTAAATTTCCAGCAGAAAAATGAAAATCAAAAAAAAAAATTGAAAATTTTTTTTATCCTTCACATTTTACAATGAAACTTTTTTTCTTGTTCGATTGTCAGTTATTTATAAAAGTGCAAATTCTTGCATAAATTTAAAGAATAATGAACGATGATGAACGAATCAAAATTCCGACTAAGATTGATTAAAGATAATAAAAATTTTGTAAATTTCGTGTTTTATTTCTTTTTATATTATTTTAAGTGGGCCTTTAAAAAATAATTTGAAAAAAATGGTTCTATTTAAAGAGATATTTTAGCAGGAATTGGTCTGTTTAAAGACAATTTATGCATGAAAAGGTTGATTTCTCTTAAATTTGAAAATTTTATTGCAATGATTATTTTTTATAAGTGTAATATAAAATGCAAAAATATAATCCTTTTCAAATTTTTTAAATGGTTAAAGAAAAAGAAATTTTTTTGTTGCATATTTCGATTTAAAATCAAAATTTTCATGTCATAAATAAGTCAAAAAAAAGAACCGATAATAAAATTAAATAAATTGGAATAAATTGGATCTCTTGACGTTTCTTTTTTACCTTTGAAAAGTTGCCATGCACAAATAAAAAAAATAAATGGCAAAATTATTTTGGAATTCGTTGATGAAAAAAACTAAATAAATAACTAAATAACTAAAAAGCTAAATAAACTGAGAGTTGAGTTGCTGAGTATAGTTGAAACCTGCTTTTCCAACTATTTAAATCGAATTTCAATGCGTCAGTGCCAAAGATTATATGGATATAAGATAAAATGGATCCAAAAATCTCCAGGAAAAAGAATAACTGGCAAGCAGCGATTGCTTTTCTGAATTAACAATTCATTGAAGGTTTTCAAAATTAGTTTTAAAAAGAAAATTTAGTCGAATAATTTATTTTCTATTTATAGAAAAAAGTTATGTGAAGTTATGTGACGAATTGTTTTAAATCAATCGTAAAATGATGCGTGCCAGTAAAAACAATTGTCCAGCAAATTCTTTTCCCCGATAACAAGATTAATGGCTAATATTCTTTCTGTCCGTTTCTATATAAAAATGTTTTTGTTGCCATTTTTAGATGATCACTGATCGTTTAATTTTTTCTAATATTCCTTGATGAAATATTTATCGATATAAATAAATAAATCGGTACTGATAAAAGAAGTTGTGAATCTGTAACTCAAAAAAAAAAAATTAACCGCC